GGAAATGATAATTATTGGGAGAGACAAAAAAAAAATGTAAATAAATAGACGAAAGAGTAAAACGGTAATAATCGCCGAGAAGAGGCGCACGCGATTCATACACAGTCGCGGTTTGAGGAACACCGCGAGGCCGTGTCTCCCGTTCACTCTCTCTCACTCTCGCTCACCGATCCCCTCGCTCCGCCGCCCATCTGTTTCTCGCTCGCACGCGCCGCGACCGCGCACGGGCGCGGAAGTTCGCGCTAGCGCGCCTGCACGCACGCGGCGCTCGACGCCTCCCCTCCAAAGCGGCGGCGGCGTGCACGGTCATGATCGGCGTCGCATTTTCTCGCTTAATTATTTTATAAATTTTCGCMGCTCGTTTCAATATCCTTCCGTCGCATGTTGTACTTTGTGCACGACTATAACATTATTATACGTATCTAATTCAATTTATCGTTCAGGTTTTATGCAATTTATAGGCGAAATGCCGCCGATTCCGACAACACTTGAACGTAGAGTTTAGGGTAGCATATAAATTCCACCCTTAAAAATTAACGAATATAATCATCGAAAATATTTTTAAAAAACATAAATTATTAAAATTAAAATAGACATCATGAAATATTGGGTATGGTTGATAAAATGTAGTACAATAGATAGGCTTTATCAAAATTAAACATCAAGTTTACCATATTAATATTWTAACGAATGTGTCTACACGATTATATTCCAAAAATCAACCACTTTTAATAACTCAATAAAAATTATTGTCTATGAGGGTTTTTAAATAAAATAAAAATAAAAACTAGTGACATGCTATTTGCGTAGGTATAATCAAATATAGTTTTAACTGAATGTTTAAAAATTCAGATAAATACAAATTAAATTTGTGAAAAATAATACTGATGACTTCCATTTTTTTTTCAAATAATTAAATCTTAGTTTCCGTTAAAATTTCCACACAAAAAAAATATACAACCGTGGGAATTTTTAAACTTACAATCTCCTAAATTTAGTRCCGTCGCAGAAAATAATTGATATCATCTTCTTAACAAAGACTGAGGCCTGAGGTTTCTATAGAGTCTAGTCTAGTAGAAAAAATCGTGTAAAATATGATTTTATTAACGATTTATAATTTATAATTTTAAAATGCAAACTCTCATCACCCCTCTATTATGATTGGGCAGTTGGAAGATTGTACGAYGTAGATCACATATGCGTCTGTGTGTGTGAAGGACCCCCGCACTGAAATTTCAACGCTAAAAAAGGTTTCCATCCCATAAACATGTCTAGTCTTATAGGGAAAAAATATAAAAAGTATAAATAATAATATCATGTTAAATAGTATATATAATTTTATTTACGATTTACAATTTTAAAATACTCATTAATTTGCGTTAAAATTAAAAAAAAAAAAATCTACGGCCTAGATAATTTTCATACTTTTAGACTTGAGTAATATTACACTATTCGCTCATATATTAAAAATAACCGAGTAAAATAGATTATAGTGAACGTACAGTTAGCCATGTTATGGGTCGTTTGTAAAACGGAAACATCACGCGCGGTTATAACGTCTTAATTAATATAATTTTAATTTCGGTAATACCTATCTTGGTCCTATCCGTATATTTTTATTTATAAGCCATCGGTGTCGTAATAGATACTTTAACAATAGTGTACTGTACTTAACTACTGCAAAGCTTCCAGGATGAACTAAGGATATATTTTTAAAACAGCACATGGCACATATCCTGATTATTTTGCGCAAGTGAAAAAAATTTGCCATTCGCTAATGTATTCGTATACGTTGTATATATTGCCACTATGAATATTCAATAAAATAAATGAAAATTTAATTAAAATACATATTAAACGTAGGTATTGGATTTTTTTAGTTTTTACCGGATTCGTCGTTTAAATATAAAGTTTAAAATAGTTTAAATAGTATAAGAATAAATACAATTTAAAACAGAGAATAATTTAATCAGATTTTATCGTTATTATCGAAAATTTTCGTTTTCATAATTAAAATATTAGGTAATTGAATTTTCAAACGTAAATCCCAATGAGGCAATAAAAAAATATATATATTGTGAAAAGTAATGAGAATGGTGGTTATTATTACGTGTTACACTGTACGCAGCCAATTCTTGCTTATCGTAAAACAACAAGTTCAACACTACTTTATCATCATTTAGCAATCATACCTGGTCATAAGCTGAACATATTTTTTTTTAATAATACCTACATAAAAATATAAAATCATTGTTTTAACCGCAGTCCGAGTGGTGGGCATTAACTAATTACAATCAACAAGAATATTATCTATAAGCATACAACAAAATATGACAATCACTCAACTTAACCCATATAAATATATATTCACAAAAAATTCCTTAAAAGTGTATGTAAGTGTACTTTGCATAAACGATAAACCGGATAAACGCGTAGGTGAGTACTCGTAATATCTTGCATAAGTAAAAACATTGCATTTTTATTTAAAACTGCATGTTAGCTCAAGCCTTACAGCAGTTAATTATTTAACAAAAAATATTTTTATTCCTCTTAAATACTACCTCGGTATAGGTACTATAAATAAGTTGGCATTTATTACGAACATATTTTATATTTAATGTATTTATCTCTCCAAAGAGCAACACATATAGGTAAATCGAATTTGCTGCCGGAATTGAGTCAGCATGAGTAAGCGATCGGATCACTCCCCTTCTAACAAAAAAAATAATCACAGACATAAAAAAACACCAGCATTGTAAAACAAACACGCAAGTCCACAATCTTCAATCGTCAATCCTGTCGTCAAGTGTTATTGACAGTCCTCCATGGCAGTAACTTGGAGTTTTTTTTTTTCTGATAAATTTGTGTTACCCATTGTGTTTAAAAATAAACAATGGGGAGGAAGTGATATCCTTGAATACTTCAAACCCCCAACCCCCACAAAAAAAAAAAAATTTACCAATAGCAAATCTATACAATATTAAATCTTAACGTTATATATAATATAGCAGTCCTTGAGATTTTGTATACAATAATTGTTAAATTAGGTAGTGAAAATATAACAAGTTTGTTATAGATACTATATATATGCGTTAATGAGTATAACATTAAGTGTACCAGTTATTACAGCATAAATATTTAAATGACAAGTTATARTAATTAGTTATTACCTACACRAAAATGTATTATGCAGAAAAATAATGTGTTCAATATTCAATGAATTAGAGCTCAAAACTGTATGGAGCCAAACGATATCGTTGCCCCGCTATAAAATGCCAGAGGAACAACCACCCCCCCCCCTTCCAGAGGCTTCAAATGTTGCCTTTGTTCGTGGCAGTATGATATTATATAAAGTATACGAATCTTGTTTAAAATATCTACTTACCATACCAGTGTACATAAAATATAATACAACAATTAATTGTCTWGCAAACGAATTGAGTAGATACAACGCTAAGTATAGTGATGGCCAGGGCTCGGGACTTAATAGCACTTAAAATCATTAAAATAGGCGCTTAAAAAGGCTCTTAAAAACATCATTATAAGCACTCAAATAAGCATTTAAGAAACATAAATTTTTGCAAAAATATCAAAAAACTAAAAACTAAAAAATTCTAACTAAAAATCAAACAAAATAAAAATAAATCTTTATCTTTATATTATAAAATAAATTAAAATTCACTTTCGAGACTTTAAGGATGTTATGGATTTTCCGAGGGGTTTTCTGAAAAATGAAATGTAGGTAGGTAAACGATATTTATAATAGTTGAAAACATTATAAAAATGTAGAAATACTGGTCAAAAAGCAAAAATAATCAGAAAAACTGGAAATAAGCATTTTTTTGAAAAATCGCTGTAACAAGCGAAAAAAAGCACTTTCAAA